AAGGGTGTATCGTATCATAGGTGGGGTTTTATAAAATAAAAATTAAAAGGTGGGAGTAAAGAAGTAAAGATTTTTTAAATAATAACCTAAATATGTTTAAGGCCATGTTTAATTCATAGGAATAGGGGTCTAGAATTGGACCCATTTCGATTCCAATCATTTAGTTGGATGGAATCGAAATCCTATTCTCATTCCTATTGGAATAGTATTCTCACATCATTCTTTCCCCCCTCCCTTATAAATGAAATCTCATTTTAATTGATTTCAATTTTGATTTTGGTTTAGACTATAAAAATAAATTATTTCAATTCAGGTTCTGAGAAAATTAAAGCACAAGCCAAACTGACCCTAAGCAACCGTTTAATTTATATAAAGAAGCTTCTAAAATAAATAAAAAAGAAAACAGCCTTGTCGAGCCATCGAGAGGAAACGCCTTTCAACCTTATTCCAAATTTACATCTGCGCCGATATCAGTGGGAGATATTCTCAATACACGGTTGGGATATAATGATATGATGAGGGCGCAGATGTGTACAAAAGGCGCCCCAAATGTAGATCTGAGCGTGCATTGGGAATATTCATTGTCATTGGGAGGTGTTACTAATAAACCGGTGAAATTTGCTGTGTGAATTCGTTTAGCCCAGTTTAAGGAAGAGGGCAATACGGTCTCTTGACGTAAAACCAAAATAACTTCTCGTATTAAAATTCGATACTAAAATATATATATATTTTACGGCGAGTCCCGAAGGGATGACATGATCACGTTATTTTTCGCAAGTAGAGAAACAGCTTTTGATACGTTATCCTCGAAGACCGTTGCCATAATTCCACCCAGGATTAACCGATTAATTAATAATGTAAGCAGATCAGACGGAAATAATGCCCCGCTCTGCTCCTGTCTGTTCACAATCGAGTCAGTCGGACCCACTCTCCCTCCATCCCCGTACGTACAGTAAATTCCCACTACGAGAAAATGGCGCAGGCTGCAGTGCAAGCTGATCTGTTGCCAGTTGGCAGTTGCCACGCACCAGGTACCAGCATCCCTACATAGGCAGACCAAATCCAAAAAGAGCGTGATACCTGAAAGCTGAACCGAAAAGGAGTGTGGGACCCACAGAGAGGGTGGGCCCGCTCTGCATATGGACGCTTTCAGAATTTCTGAACGTTGGAAGGTCGGGAATCGGGATATGGCTGTAATTTGAAATTTCAAAAGAAAAGAAGAAAATTAGCGTATGTGTACTGGATATTGGCTGGCGGTATCTTCCATGATCCACCATTCCACCTCACCTTCCTTCCAAGTTCCATGACCGACATGGAATAAATAAATAAAAGCTCCAAGCCTATGTTTCTAAATTGGGTAAATTAGAGGGGCACCCCCGTCATTTGGGCAATCTCACACTGAAGTCCCATTTACTTATATGTTTAAATATTATGTTATGTCAGACTCTTTGAAGAATTAATGTAAAATTACCCAATTGTTAGACCTTTAACATCATTAAACGCACCTTCAAGACTAAAGTCAAGACTTTTTTTTGGATAGAGATTGACTAAAGTGAAGATTAGGTGGTGACTAATGTTTGTTATTGAGAGAGATTATATGAACACTATGATATATCATAGCTCCTCCATTGATTTATTTATGCGCACTGACAAACTAGGCTTTAGATAAGCACTTTGTTTCCTGTCTTCGTGCTTTCATCAGCAAAATACATTTACAATAAAAAAGCTCGAAGTAAGAATGGGATGCTTTGTGCTTCAATTGCATGGCTTCGAGCAAATTTGATTTTCATAAAATGTAGTAAGTATCTTAAAGAGTCTTTTTTTTTTTCAGATTTACTTAGGGTTTATGAAAAATTATTTTCTTTGGATATCCCATTAGGTGGTAAATAAATTTTTCATGCATGAGGAAAGTTGTCAATATTTGGATGGATAAAAATTGTTCTTTTAATAATGGTATTTTATGGTTAAACAGTCATTGTCTTATTTACATGAGAAACAAAAGAACATAGGTAAATGCTAACTTGCTGAGTAATTATTTCTTAGGGAATACTTTACTAGGTGAATGTATTTACTTGGGTAAGTAACTTCGCGAAAAGCAAACAGGGCCAAAAAAAGAACCCTCACTTTCGAAGTTATTGCTCGACACCAAAGTTCTACTAGATCATAGAACCCTTATGCCCAATAAAGATGTAGGTCCATGTTAGTGAGATTTTGGGTTTTCGATATTTTTTTTTCAAGAAAATGTTTTATCTCACCTTGTATCTAGAACATGGACTGGGTCAGGTCGGGTTTTGGCTGGGCTTTGCCTCTTTATATACTAAGCCTGAGCTCAAGCCCAATCCAACCATTGGGCTTAGATCTTGAGCCCGACCCGGCCCTATATAAAGCCCGAAGCCCAACTTTGATAGGTATTTTATAATATATTAATTACATATTATTAATAATATATTATATATTATATAATATTTTATACATTATATATAATACTTTTTTGCTATTAATTTTATTATTATATAATATATATTATGTATTATTAAAACATATAATATATTTCTATGTATATTTAATATCATCGAACTTGGGCTCGGGCCGGGCTTATTTGGGAAAGCTCGAGACTGGCCCGAAAAATAGTTAGGCTTGGTTTTTAGAGCCCGAGCATGTGGTCTTAAAATTTTGTTCAAGCCCAATTTAGAACGGGTTGGGTCGGGYCAGTCCATCAAGCTACCCGACCCATGAACATGTCTACTTGTATCTAAAAAGCTTTCCCAAGATTCATGTTCAGTTGTACATCTCCAAATTCAATGGAAAACTAGAGAGACCATTTTTCTTATATTTCTTGTTAATTTCACTCTAATCGATTCCTTTGTTCCTCTTTGCATTCATTCCCTTCCAATGTGAGTTTTATTCTAGGGAAATTTATGATGCTACAAAGAATGGTACGGGAAGAGAATTGACCAGTCAAAAACCCACCCATGAATTTTGATAAATAACACCTGATTGGTTATCATGTTTATGATACCAGTTAATTGGTCAAAATTTTTCAGACGTTATATCTTTTTGGTATCATAATTGATCTCATGTATATATTTACATAAATGCATATATACATGTATAATTTTAGAGCAGGTTGGATGACCAACCCAAACCTAACCCAGTGCATCAAATTACAATACATGCTGGACTCATGTTGAGAAGATTGAATTTGATCTCGGGCTTGGTATGAGCTCAACCCTTAGGCCCAAATCTTAGGGTTGGGCCTAGGTTGTCCATAAACCCRACCTGATCCACCCGACTTGCACCCCTAGTCACATTTGGTAGAAATTTGTGGCATCTAAACGCCTAATTGCTCTCTAAGTTCCTCTTGAATTAGCCTTATCAGGCTTAAAAAATGTTCATTCAAAGGCAATACAAATTTTTTTCTTAAAATTGACACATCACTTGGATGGATGATATTTATATAGGAGACCACTTTTGTGACCTTGCGCTAATTTCGTACATTATTTGGATGCTTTTTACATCAATACGTTCCTTTTGTGGTAAACACTAAGGTGATATTTGGCATCAATGCTTATTCTTCCTTACCGATTTTTCAAAAATCGGTGATTCTTAAAATTAGTGTTTTTTCAAAAATCGATAAATTTTGTTATTTGATATCATTTTTGCCATATAAACTGATTTTTGAGAAAATTGGTTTTGAGTCTGTTTGGTACTGGCTTTCAAGGGCAAATTAATTTTGTATTAGATTTATTTTTCAATGCCATGTCCGGTGTCATGTCATCCTTAGAAAATCAAAATCAGCTAGAAATTAGGAAATCACCAAAAAATGTGATATTTGAAAAGGACTGATTTTTTTTTTTTTTTTTCTGCTTCATGGGGCTACACAATAGGGGGTAGTCCATCCCCTTTCCCTTAACCCCCCCAATCCCTGGTGGCAGCGGGATTTGATCCCAGGTCTCTACTCCGACGAATCAGAGAAACTACAAACCAAACAGAATTGATTTTTGGYCGATTTCCTGAAAATAGCCAAAATTGGCCAATCAAACAGAAATTTCAACTATTCCTCTAACGCTGATATGGCTCCAACATGATAGTGATTTTCAAGAAATCATCATCCATGCCAAACATCACCTAAATTTTTTACTCTAAAGTTCATATCACTAATTTCTTTTTGGCATTAGATTAATTGAATTTGGATGGCTGTGGTTGTTAGGTTAATGCACTAAATATCAAAGGTTACTTGGAGACCATTGCACATCACCTAGAGGTTGTTTGGCATCCGAGCATTTTACAGGCGTTCCGTTTCAGTAGTGGGCTTTGATTCCCAAGCGGTTCGTTTCACCTATTCTTTTTGAAAAAAAAAAAAAAAAAAGTGGTGCAAGCTGACCAGGGGTTTAAAGTAATTTAGGTTAATATTATAATAATAACATTTCAAAAAGTAATAAATTTTTTCAAATTTCAATGTACCATCATGCCAATTCAAGATCACCTATGTGATTCAAGAAACCCCTCCTTTCCCAAATTCCAATGATAATCATTATAAACACATTATTTTTGAGAAATATAATTTTCTASCAAATTCCATTTATTTGCTGATCATCATTGCATGACAGATCAACAGAAACGATCATGAAACGCACCAATGCTAAAAATATACCTAGTTTTTCAAGATTATTTGTCAAATATAGGCATGAATTCAACGGTCCTGATCTTCTGTCACAAAATCATAAAAGGGCACAATCATCTTCTAAAATAAGACAAAACATATCATAGCGTTTCAGAAATGTTTAACGATGAACGTAGTAGATTGACAAAAGTGATGAAAGGGATTGTTTGTCATAGCATAAAAATATAAAGGGTCAAATGTGAAAAACAATAGTATAAGGGACCATGTGCAATACCCCATAAACTGTAGGGAGGGTCCCAGTAATTTACCCTTTTAAATTTAGTAAGCCAAATATATTTTAAGATTTTATTTATTTCTATATTTTTAAATTTTAGGGCAAACCGGCAATTACCCTCATAGACAATGGCGCTAGTGACAAACTGCGGCAAAAGAAGCCGTTTTCTCATTATGACTCATTTTTTTTGGGTTTTCTCATTATAACTCAAACTCATCAATCTTCACCCCCTCTCTCCTCCTGCTGCTCCTCTCTGCTGCTCAATTCCCTCTCTTTGTTTCTCTCTAACAGATAAAGTAATCAACCAACTTCTCAGAAAATTGGCTCCAAATACGCTACAAGCACCCCTAAACTCGCTACATGGCTTCTTTTCGGTTTTTCCCTCTGATTTTGCTCTGCATTTCGTCATTTTTGTGCCTCTGTCTTGCCGAAGATCCCTTTGTCTTTTACGACTGGGAGGTCTCTTACATCACGGCTGCTCCTTTGGGTGTCAAACAACAGGTTTGAGTTTTGGATCTGCTTTCTGTTTCCTTTGTCTAGCGCTAGATCTTCTCCTCTTGTTTACTGGGTTTTTCTTCTATGAGGCGTTTGATTTTCTCTGGTAGTCTTTCTTTCTCCGGATCTACTAAATATGCTAGTTTATACAAACTTAGTTAGTGGCTTTGCTTATCTTGGTTTTGCATTCTCTTTTGTTTTTTTGTTATCTGGGTTTTGCTGTTATTGTTCTACTACTGTCTAAAACCCAGAGATTTATAGCGGCTTGAAGTGATTTAGGTTTCGTTTGAAGTAATTTTCTTCTGCGTCTCTCTGCATTGCCTTGGGATTGCAGGTAATAGCGATTAATGGCAAGTTTCCTGGACCTACTGTTAATGTGACTACGAATAACAACGTCGTCGTTAATGTTCTGAACAGTCTGGATGAAGACCTCCTCATTACTTGGTAAGTTTCAACTTATGTTGTTCTACTTATTTTGCTTGAATTTACTCCTCATATAATTCTGGGGTATAGCTGCTGGAGTTTATTATTATTATTTTAATTTTTAAAGATTTGTTTTTGGGTTGGGTTTTGACAGGGACGGTGTTCAGCAGCGTCGTAATTCTTGGCAAGATGGTGTTCTGGGAACCAATTGTCCTATCCCTGTGGATTATAACTGGACTTACCAGTTTCAGGTCAAGGATCAGATTGGGAGCTTTTTCTACTTCCCTTCGCTCAATTTCCAGAGAGCCGCCGGTGGTTATGGAGGCTTTATTATAAACAACCGGCCTGTCATTCCGGTGCCTTTTGGGACCCCGGATGGAGATTACACTATTCTGATTGGTGACTGGTACAACCGAAACCATACGGTCAGTGTTATTGCATGATCAGCAATCTTTTTTTTTTCTTTTTTTTTTCAATTCTTCCTTTTTTCTCTTTTGATTTTTTCTTGCTTTTAAGGAAAATCAACTGGGTTTCTAGGATGTGTAGTGGCTTATTCTATGAGCCTCTTCTGGTTGTAGGATCTGAGAAAGGCCCTTAATGCTGGTAAAGACCTTGGAATGCCAGATGGAGTGCTCATAAACGGGAAGGGTCCATACAGATATAACACCACTCTCGTTCCAGATGGGATTGATTATGAAACTTGGAATGTCCATCCAGGTAATTTGAATCCAGCTTTGTGAAGAATGATTTGTGGATTTTTCTTTTATAGTTTTATCATATGAGTTGTGGATTTTATATCATATATCATTTTACATTTGCCAACCTTTTAGATCTAGGAGTTGATCAATGACATTGTTAGTTCCTATCTTGAAAATAATTCTAGAACGCTAACCTATTTTAGATCTAGGAGTTGATCAATGACATTTCCCAACCTTTTACTTGATAGATCTAATGACAATCTTTATGGAGCCTGATATATTGTTTGGTCAGTTTAGTTTTAATGACAATCTTTATTATTGAAAGCTGTTATGCTTTAAAATCTAATAATGCATAGTGATGCTTTAGTAGTGGGTAGGATACAGAATGAAGCACCTCTCTTATGTAGCGGAGTATTCATTCCAATTCATTAATCAATAAAGTTTCAACAGCCAATAACCAGCCAAAATAAATTTCAACAGTCAATGCTGTTATGATCAAGGGTGGAGAGAATGCTAGAGTTGATAAGAACTCTTTCTCTTGGTATCTTAAGTTATTTAATCTACTAATTTTGGGGATATCAAATATTATCTCTTATACATCTGTCTCCTACCATTTATATTTCCATTTTTTTGGTTACAATGAAATTCTTTGTAGTCTGAAAGTACAGTTGTATGATGTTGGGGCAGGCAAAACTTATCGTATCCGTGTACACAATGTTGGAATCTCAACTACTTTGAACTTCAGGATCCAGAACCACAATTTGCTTCTTGTAGAGACAGAGGGGTCATACACAGTCCAGCAGAATTATACTAACTTGGATATATCTGTTGGACAATCTTATTCATTCTTGGTTACCATGGATCAGAATGCAAGCAGTGATTACTATATTGTAGCAAGTGCTAGGTTTGTGAATGAATCTCTTTGGAAAAGAGTCACAGGTGTTGCAATCTTGCATTATTCCAATTCCAAGGGAAAGGCATCTGGTCCTCTCCCAGATTCACCAAATGACTTTTTTGACAAGACGTATTCAATGAACCAGGCAAGGTCTATCAGGTTTGTTCACATAATCTTCTGGTTGTGATGGGAATACCTCATCCCACCCACCCCCCCAAAAAAGTCTGAAAACACAAATTATCTATCTATTTATTTTGACTTCCCATTTTCCAAATTTACTAGGTGGAATGTGTCTGCTAGTGGTGCTCGACCTAATCCACAGGGGTCTTTTAGATATGGCACAATCAATGTGACTGATATATATGTTTTGAAGAACAAGCCACCAATAACAATTAATGGGAAGAGAAGAACTACTCTCAGTGGAATCTCATATGTCAATCCATCTACCCCAATCAGGCTTGCTGACCAGTACAATGTGAAGGGGGTATACAAGCTTGATTTCCCCAACCGGCCACTTACTGGACCATCTCTAATGGAGTCATCTGTTATAAATGGTACATATAGGGGATTTATGGAAGTCATTCTACAGAACAATCACACGACAATCCAGAGCTATCACATGGATGGTTATGCATTTTTCGTGGTTGGGTGAGCATTTCCTATACATGGTGTACGCATCCATGAGTTACATTGGTAATTTTCTCACTTTTATGAATAGTTCAATTGATTGGTTACAGGATGGATTATGGAGAGTGGACAGAAAACAGCAGGGGTACTTATAATAAATGGGATGGAATTGCTCGCAGCACAATACAGGTGTGTTTTGATTTTTCCTTATCTTGGTCAACTTTTTATTTCTCAGGTTTATTTTTTTCCTCTTTTCTTTTGGTGTATAGAAAACAAAAAGGAAAGGAAAAAAATGACAATCCATTCTTCCATAAAACGATGGCTGACCAGCATCATTAAAAGACATTTTCTTTTAGTTCATGACTCAATGGTTCCTGTGCTGCATATGGTTGTGTGTCACTTATTAATAGCTTTAGTGTCCAATTTTCTAAATGCCTCTTCTATGGTTTGTATCCCAAGAAATCCAGAGGGAGGGCTCTTTGAACCTCTAAATTTTGAAGTACTTTATGGGTATTTATTTATTTATAGAGAATGGTAACCTGTATTTATATAATATATAGAAAAGAAAAGGTCTTACATGATTATACATTTATGTACAGAATATCTATGAAAGCTCTCCAGAAAAAAAGACCAGGTAGGTAAAGAGCTGTTTCTATACTAAAAGGCCCTTTCCTCCCCTAGGAAGCCATCTACTACATAGTCTGAAGTTGTATTTAGGAAAAATTCTAACCTCATTGAGGTAGTTGACCAGGGGCCATTACTTGGTTTGATGGTAAAATTTTGGGCTGGCAAGTGTGAAAATGCAGGTTTGAATCTGAGAGCAGCCACTTTGCACAGAAAAAAGCCAAAGCTTTGGATCTCATCAAGTCCATCCCTCCTGAGAACAGCTGGGACCAACATAGGGTAATGACTTTTTTTATTGAGGTAGTGGAAGGGGCTAGGAGAGCTATGGGCAGGACCGAAAGGGACTTGGGTGGAAGTAGTAAGAAATGATTAATGTACCCGAACCCATATAATTGGGGTAAGGCATGGATGATAATGATGATGAGTGGGCAAAGTGCCAAGGCCCTCTTCGGACCTTGTCTCCTTGATGGTTAAGACTTTTATCTATAGATTTGCTGTTTGTTATTTCTTTATCCTTTGGATTGTACAACCTGTGGTGGTGCATTTAACAGTTTGGACAGATGCCTCATAAGCTTTGATGCATCTTTATACATTCCTTTAATTATCTAAGTCTTCGTTATCTCTACATTTACCATTGGTTAGTAAAGGTAACACTCATTCTAAAGGTAACACTCATTCTTCTCTTGGTTTTCACCTTCAGTGAGAGCTTTTTCATCTGGTCTTGTGCATCTCACGTTACCTTCATTTAATACCCTAGGTCAAACAGAACATCAGCACAAAGAATTCATTGGGTTCATACTGTTGACTTTGTGAGTTCATAACATGGTGGATGGGGATCGTTAAAAATCTGGTTGTTACCTGTATAATAACAAGGTTTATGAGACAAGTTGCGGCAAGAATATCTTCAAAGGAAGAACATTGCACTTATGAGTTGAAAGAGATCTTAGATTAATTGTCACTCAATGTGCTCATTCTATATGAGTTGAAAGATTGGTTGCGTAGAAATCCTCAGTTGAGTAGTGTTGATACTCAGTTTACACAGCATCCAGTTGAGATGTTACTATGATCACTATACACATGGCTCCTTCTAAGAGGATACAGAGAAATTGCATTTGTGTTGCAAGATTTTTGCTTTTATTTTTTTCTATTTTCTTTTTCAAATCAATTCAAGGAGGAAAGAAGAAAAGAAAAGAGACTGAATATAGTTGTGTTGTTTTTTGTGTAGGTATACCCAGGAGCGTGGACGGCAATTCTAGTCTCCCTTGACAATGTTGGAGTCTGGAATCTTCGAACAGAAAATCTCGACTCATGGTATCTTGGCCAAGAAACATATGTAAGGATTGTTAATCCAGAGGCCAACAACAAAACTGAGTTGCCAATACCAGACAATGCTCTGTACTGTGGCGCACTCAAATCTATGCAGAAGTATGTAACCAAATCCTTGTTTTCAAACAACCCTCTTTTTTATGTAGTCATCCCCAATTCTCCATCAATCAAAACTTATACAATCTTTGCTTTACATCTTCAGGGCACAACACCACAAGAAGAAGAATGCTGCTTCATCAATCACCAGTAGAAGATGGAACGTGTTCTTCACTCTGCAAATGTTTCTCTTTGCTGTCATTTTCATTTTCCACTAAATTTTCATGCTGCCAGAACTCTACAATCTTCGGTGATGATAACAAAGATGATGGTGGCTATGATGGGTTGTCTTGTGCCTGTTGCTGGTGGGGGCATGCTTTCCTTGAGAGTGACATTTTCCAGTTGCAAGTGTTTAGGTGTGCAAAACCAATCCTGTTCATACGAGTTTTAGCTGTGATTTTGGCCTGGTGTCTTCCCAACTTTTTTCAGTCCCCAATTCCTTGTATTTTGGGTTATTGGGGGGGGGGGTTATTTATCATTCTTTTCGACCCTATAATTTATGTACCAATGAAGATTCTTCACCCATTTCAATACCATTCGACTCTCCATACCCAAGTTTAGATGATGTTTATATGCTTCCAATTCTAGTTCTTTTTCGTTACAGAATTGATTTTTAATTACATTTGAACATCTAATTTGAGCATAAGATGCATGGCTGCTGCATAGCTCATGAGCATGACAAGCAGCAGCGGGGTCGTAGATAGTCATAGTGGGTTACCGTCAATGTGAAAGGTGAGGAGAGAATGTATGTGGTCCATGATGTTGGTTTTTGAAAGGCCTCTCTTTTTTGGTTGTCTGGGTGCAGGTGCAGGTGCAGCTTTGTATTTCCATAAAAACGTTTTTTTTTTTTTTTTTTTAATTTTTACATGTATTTGGAAAAAAGCACTCATCAGCAATGGATGCATCCTCGTACACCCGGACGCACTCGTTTGTCGATTCTGGATCTGATTGAAACAAGGAGTGGAAATCAGGCTAGAAAACTCCAATCAGAAGTAAACACGTTTGTGTTTCGTACCGTTTGCCAGATGTACCATGAAGGCAAAACCTAACGTGTTTACTTCTGTTTTGGTGTTTCTGGCCTGTTTTCTACGCCTTGTTTATAGTAGATCCCGAATCCAACCTCTGTGAGATCTTGAGAAATCTATTGGTCATAATGGCATCAGCATCAATGGTTGCCTAAAGTACAGCTTTAGAGTGATTTGGACCTGCAACAAAACCAAATCTGTGGTCTTCTTCCGAGCTTGAGTGAGTGGGTAGTCGTCTAGGTTGTGTTGTCGTCTAGGTTGTATTTAGGTTTCATTCATTTAAGCTGCGTTTGGAATCAGTGTAAATCAATAACGATGTAAAAGTTTATTCTGGAATTAGTGTAAACGAAGATTGATGTAAAACTTTATTCTGGTTTAGATTTATTGGCGTTTGGATGGAGTGGAGTTTTATATAGTGAATCGATGTAAAACCTCAACAAACATAGGGTTTTACATAAATTATCGATGTAAATACTACATCAATTTTATCGATATAAAACTTTACATTTTTTTATCATGATTTTCAAAATGGTCACCTATGATATGGTTCAGTGTAAAACATAGTACTTTTACACTGATGTCTTGCTAGTAAATTATTTACTCAGGTAAATGCTGGTGTTTATTAGTCAAGTGTGTTTATCTATGTTTATTATGTTGAATTTTATTTAGATAAGTTTTCCCTGTTACCATATTTACCTTTGGACTTTTTTGTTTATAAAAGATTTTCAATGGACGTTTTTGTCTTATTAATTTTGGAAGCTTTTTCTCTCGGTGGAAAAGTAATTTATCCAAATAAGGAAAGAGTAAGAATTTCCTGAATAAATGGCCTGAAGGAAAGTCAAGTTTCTGTAGTTCCACATTTACTAACAAAAGAACACAGAAATTGACCCAGCTTCCACCCTCTCTCCATCATACCAATTTCTAAGATACAGGCTGATTTCTTTCCCAAGTTTTTGTATTTTGGAATATGATACTGAAAAAACTTGTATTCACGAGAGAGGGGTGTTGATTGATTCAAGTTCTTCCTCTATGTCTTTCTTGTAGCGCAAGCCTAGACAGCTAAGGGTGTCAATGGACCAATTTTGGGTTGGATCCATCCAAATCAAAATCAATTTCGATTAATTGGATGGACCACAAGACATATTGAATTGGATCAGTTCAGATTTAATGGTTCAAAGTATTTATTACATTGGATTGAACCAATCCATTGATAGAAGATAAGAACACAGAAGCCAATGGACCAGATTTGTATTGAAACTAATTCGAACAGAATGGATGGTCCAAAATATCCATCGGATTGGATTGGACCTGATCTATCCGTAATGGACTCATTGGATCGGATTAGATTGGACCAAATCTGGTTCAATCCAGTCCAATTAACATCCCCAGGGACAGTCTCCGTGATGCTACAACTCTTTCAAAACTTCTCGGCGAATTTGGCCAATATCAGTAGAACAGTTTGTGATTTCTTTGGAGGAGATATTTCTCCAGGATTAATAGGCTCACATTTAAATTTTAGTTCGCTTTTGGGTTGGTGTTAAACACATAATTGTAGTACAACAACTGACACGCAGTGGTTCTTGTTTCGGATGTCATTGCAGAGAGGTGACGAACTGCTCAATTCTAAAAAGGTGAAGGCAAGGTGGGATTGTTCATGACACTGTAAAAACTGAACCGCCCGCAAGAGACGGTAAAAGTTAGGGTAAAAGACTTAAAACTCTGTTAGAAACCTGCATATTCTTCGAGGGAGCCAACATCCAAATGGTAAGAGAGAGAGAGAATTGATTTGAAATTCTTAGATGCCTCCCTTTCTTATCTTCACCCCTTATAAACAGCATCCCCTTGAATTGGGAATCTTTTCCCTTAACACTGACCCAAACTGTGCAGTCGCATTATGAATCCTAAGGTGGATTGAACTCAAATTACCCCTTTTATTTAGTGTTTTCATTCTGATGCTTACAGCTGATTACAATACTTCAGTTTTGTTCTTTTACAACGATAGATTTATGCCAGAAAGACATGATAACCTTGAATTGGTTGTAAGTTTTTCCGTGTCTTTCCCGCGTCATAGATTTTCCTACCATAGTTTTGTTCTGTTATGCAGATGTGGTCTCTTTGTATACACTTGACTAATAACCTTGGATTCTATAGAGCTCTCGATAAACTCCACCTGAGGTTTCTCACAGATACTTGCACCTCCCCTCCGGTTGGTTTCTGACAGGACTTAAACCTCTCTTGTGGGATGATTGTCACTAGACAAATAATACCCTCCCTTATCCATCTGCCTATTGCTGTTGGGTTTGGGGCGGTCAATGGTGGATATATCAAAGAGGCATTTAGGGACAATGAAGCCTGAAGGGGGTCAAGGGACTTGTTTCTGTTTGGAACTCAAATGTCATCAGCCGTAGGATCTATACTGCTTGCTCGTTTGAAAATGGGTTAGAAGAAAATCGCAAGAACCCAGCCCGAAAATGCTCATAGACTGGTATTGCAAAAATATTTGGTTTGTTTGGACACGGTTTGTGCCTTTTCTTTTCCCTTTCTGCTGCTGTTTTTTTTCTTGTTTCAGTAGTTTTCTTTAAAAATTTGAAAAATATTGAAGGGTAAAATAATCTTTTTATTTGCTCTGTCAAATATAACGCCATCTTAATTCTTCACTGACAGCGGAGGCTTAAGTCCGGTCAAAAACCTGAGGGGGATGGCTAAGCGCATTTGTAAGAAACCTCAGGGAGCTTTTTACCTTAAAATTACTGGTATTCCTTTTCTGTTTTTATCAAGGCTTAGGCACCGGTCAGGGGTTCGGTTCTTGGGTCGAACGGTTCGACTGTTTGAAYCAAATGGACAGTCTGTTCTGACAAAAAAATAAAAAAAATAAAAATGGCCAAAACCGTTGGATGGTTCAAACGTTTCGACTGCCTAAGTCAATGGTTTTTTGACCAAATCAACGGTTTTTGGCGAAATAACGGTTGTAGGGTAAAATGGAACCGGTCATATGACCACTTCCTGGTTTTTCCGGTTCAACCATCTGGTCCGTTCCGGTTTTAAAAACCATGGTTTTTATACTCTTCAGCTCAGTTTGGAAATAGTACAAATACAAATATGTATAGTACAAATACATACGAAATAATATAAAATGCAAGGTTTTGTACTCTACAAATTTGTATTTGTACTCCTTCCAAACTGAGCCTCAGATCAGTGAAAACTCAACATTGGCACTTCACTAGTCATTTCCTACTAGGGGTGTTCATGGGTCAGGTTGGACCGGTTTGAGTCATTTTCTTCAACCGACCTGACCTAGTCGGTTTACTTACTGACTAAACCGAAACCGATCGACCCTGAAGCAAAACCGACCCAAACATAGAGGGTCGGTTTATCGGTTTAGTCGGTTTTTATATATATTTTAAACTAAAATATCTATTTATATTTAAGTTTATTTCTTTTTAGTTTTTATGCAAAATCAAAATATATATTTAAATCGATTAGTTTTTTATGCAAAACTGATTTTTTTGATCAATATATATTTAAATTTATACAAAACCGAATTAAATATTGTACCATTGTATTATATTTGTATTGGTTTTACTTTTTAGCTTTTGTCATAAATAACCATTTTTTTTCAAAGTTCAAACAAAACAAAAATAAAATATATCAACATTTAACATGTAGGTTAGGGACTAATTAATAATTACTTAAACATATAGGATCGGTTCGGTTTTCATGTATGAAAACTGAAACCGAACCGAGTTATCGGTTTATTTTCTCATATAAACTGAAACCGACCAATGGTTTTAAAAAAGCGATCAACTCGGGTTGGGTCAAGCCGGTTTGGTCGGTTTGACATTTAATGTGAATACCCCTATTTCCTACTTTACCATTATATGTTTCTTTAGTCCAGGTGAAGGGTGAAATTGGTGTAATAACTAATATTAGTCCTTTGTTTTTGCCTGTCTCTATAGACAGGAATTTCATTGTCTCCATCACTTCAAACTAACCGGAACAAGGAATCGGTTTATATAATTTTCCCCAAACGTCAAAGGGAGTTTATAGGGGAGGCCATAGTACAGGAAGGTTAAAGCATTCATTGTTTCTCAAGAATTTTTACAATGATCTTTCAGCAGCCCAACTTAGGGGATGTTTGGAAGGGTGGCCATTTTTTAGAAAAACGGAGCCACGTTGGATCCATGCAGGCGATTCCACAAATGCCCACCTACATGATTGTTTGGTTCAAGTGTTTTTTGAAAAAAAAAAACGCTGAAAAATGGGCATGCCTCGTAAAGCGGGACCCAACTGTTGCAGGTTGCATGAAACATCAAATTTGGCTTTTCATGCTTCGGTGAACCGTTGCCCCCAACGGTTGACTGATTGGCGATTACATGTATCCTATTTGGCGCTTACTTGTCAGCACGCACATACATGAAAACGGTGATGAAAATCACCTTACCAAATAGCATAGTGTTGCTCGCTGCCTACCTGGTAGAAACACTCCCAAACATATCAAGGCGTTTTTTTTTTTTTTTGTGAAAAACGGGTCTAACAAACATGGGCGTTTTTTTTTTTTGAAAATCGGTCCCAAAAAATGCTCACGCTTTCAAACACCATCTTAAATGGCC